TAATATTAATATTATTAGTAGTAGTAGTAGTAGTAGTAGTAGTATTGTTATTATTATTAATATTAATATTAATATTATTATTATTATTATTATTATTATTATTATTTGCAAATAGTTCTTTAATTTAGTAATATTGTGAAGTATCTGTCCTATGTCCTATGTCTGATCAAAATAATGCTGCTTCTGTGATCATTATTGACTTATTTCAACATAATTGAAACAATTTTAAAAACCCCAAACTATAATGAGCATGAAACTAATATAAATGAACTGAACGCCTCCTTAAAACTCCTGTTGTAGTTTAATTAGGGCTTGATTTTAAGCATTTGTTTGTGTCATTCAACACTTTTCTTTTTGTAAATTCAAAATAAGGCATGTTTACATGACACAACAGTGTTTGCAGCGTGAAGCGGTGTTTTGCTCATTCATTTACCGCGGTTTGAGGGCCTGAAAATGAACAGGTTTTGACTGTGCCTTTGTCTGTGTGCAAAACCGTTCAATAATACAAAAGAAAATGTGGTTTTTATATCATTGTGGCCATGCAATGTAAGATTACCCCTTAAACAGGAGTGACTGCAGGCATTTTCCTCAGATGACCTACTTTTGAGGTCCGCATTAGAGCATGTGATCACCTGTCTGACACCGCCCACCTGCTGCCAGACAGACGAATGCACACGAGTGGGCGGAGCTTAGGGGCTCATTCACCTGCACAGATGCTCACTCAGTAAATGAGTCATGTGAGCGGATGCGCACACACACACAGAGACACACATCTGCTTCAGACGAGTCCTGTATTAATGCTGTGACTCAGACAGCAGATGTTCATGCTGTTGACTCCCGTATTTAAACACATCTGGACTGATATCGTTTCTAAATTTACCTGCTATCATTGTGATTTATTAACATTGTCTGTCTGAAGCTAAATGTATGCTTCGGTATTGCTTTAAAATGACTGTAGATGTCTAATTTTAGCCAAAAGCAGTCAAAATAATTACAACTATTTTATTATTTAGCAAGTTTAATACTAGGTTCTGCAGCAGATTGGTCAATAGTGACTGTAAACACATTTATACTGTTATGAAATATTTATTTATTAAAATAAATGCCATTTAATTGAACTTAAAATTCATTAAATGTACCAATATACCAATATTTACCAACAAATATATAGTACTAAATTCCAAGTGAGATTTGTTATTGTTTCTCTTATTTATTTGATGAAAAAAAATCAGTAAACCTGAAATATTGTGAAAAATATTTTCAAAAATACAGATTTTTAAAATATATTTCTTCTATTATATTTATATTTTTATGTATTACTGCTTTAAAAAATGAACACTTAAACAACTCCAAGTGTCCCCTTTATTTTTTGAGCAGTATGTTTCATATATACATATTTACCTATTAAATATATTTAAAACAAGTGTCGTTAAAGGTATTTCAGATTTTACTGATTTTATTCATCAAATAAATAAAAGACTTACAGAAACATATGCATGCTGTTAAAGCATTGGTATGTTGGTTTATGCAAATAAAAGGCATCATGTATTCAACATTCATCCTTGTTTAATGTAAAAACAATGAATGTAAACCAAAAAAATTAATGCGTTTTGCAATTATTTATTTCTTTACTTATGGACGAATCAGATATTAAAGAATGAATGTGATCATGTGTGTGTCATCCATCCATATTTCAGTTTATACCAGTATTCAGTTTAAAGTATTTGCACCCACAGGCCGCAGTAAAGACTTTAATGAGAGCAGGATTACGAACACAAAACCAGCTGACGCAAAGGATTGGCGGTCTTTTGTGTGTGTGTGTGTGTGTGTGTGTGTGTGTGTGTGTGTGTGTGTGTGTGTGTGTGTGTGTGTGTGTGTGTGTCGTGCCTATTTTGTAAATCTCATGTCCCCCACATGTATGAAATACCAGCTAATTTTGACCTTGTGGGGACATTTTTTGTCATATGTGCAAGCAGATGTGCGTATTTTGTAAATGTCATCAAATTCAGCAAATTTTGACTTTGTGGGGACATTGTTTGGTCAGGTGCATGTGTATGTGTGGATTTATTAAATACTATGTCCCCACAAGTATAGCAAAACCAATAAATTATGACTTTGGTGGGACATTTTTATTCTTATGTGCATGTGTGTATTTTGTAAATCTTATGTCCCCACAAGTATACCCAATATCAGCTAATTTTTACCTTGTGGGGACATTTTTTAGTCATGTGTATATGTGTTTTTTGTGAACCTCATGTCCCCACAAGTATAGCAAAACCAGTCAATTTTGACCTTAGTGGACATTTTTGGTTATATGTGCACGTGTATGTGTGTATTTTGTAAATCTTATGTTCCCACAAGTATAGCAATGCCAGTAAATTTTGACTTTGTGGGGACATTTTTTTGTCATACTGTATGTGTGTATCTTATGTCCCCACAAGTATAGGAAAACCAGCTAATTTTGACCTTGTGGGATCTTTTTTTTTTTTTGGTCATATGTGTGTGTGTGTGTGTATTTTTTTAAATCTTATGTACCCACAAGTATAGGAATACCAGTTAATTTTGACCTTGTGGGGGAATTTTTGGGCCTGTGTATATGTGTATTTTGTGAACCTCCTGTCCCCACAAGTATAGCAAAACCAGTAAATTTTGACCTTGTGGGTACTTTTTTTGGTCATATGTTCATGTGTATGTGTATTTTGAAAATCATAAGTCCTCACAAGTATAGGAATACCAGCTATTTTTGACCTTGTGGAAACATCTTTTTGGTCATATGGGAATGTGTATGTGTGTATTTTGTAACTTTCAGCAAATTCAACTAATTTTAACCTTGTGGGGACCATTTTTTTTAGCTATACAGTATGTGCATGTGTATGTGTGTATTTTGTTAATGTTACGTCCCCTTAAGTATAGCAAAACCAGTACATTTGACCTTGAGGGGACTTCATGTGCATGCATATGTGTGTGTTTTATAAATCTTAAGGATCTGTCCTCACAAGTATACCAGCTAATATTGACCTTAAAGAGACATTTGTTTGGTCAAATGTGTATATGTGTATATTGTGAACCTCATGTCCCCACACGCATAGCAAAACCAGTATATTTTGACCTTGTGGGGACATTTTTGATAATATGTGCATGTGTATGTGTGTATTTTTTAAATCTTAATCTTATGTTCCCACAATCATAGTAGAACCATCTAATTTAGACCTTGTGGGGACATTTTTGTCATATGTGGATGCCTATACAGTATGTATATTTTGTAATCTTATGTCCCCACAAGAATACCAGCTAATTTTAACCTTATTGGGTCATTATTTGGTCCCCATGAGGAAACGGCCATAAATCACACAGAATTAAGTATTTTGAGCATGTAAAAGTGCAGATTTGCTCCTGTAATTGTTGTTTTTAGGGTAGAATATACAGTCAGTACAGTATAAATATCATTACATCTATGATCCCCATAAAGATAGCTGTCACTAGTGTGTGTGTGAGTGTGTAATTTCAGATATTTCTAATTGTTATCCTGCCTTTGATCTCCCCCAAACGCTGCTGTCCAGACTCGTCTGAAAGTGTAAACACGTCAAAGGCGTCACAAATATTTAGAGCACGGCTGAACACTGATTGACTTCACACTTTGGTTCATTTGTAAACTCATAGCTCATTTAGCAAGAATCGACTTTATATTACTGTGTTATTTAGGACTGAACACAACAGGAACAGCTTGATGAAGCATTTTTGTGTTCTTGGTTTTGATTTGATTATAGTGTATGTTTGCTTCAAATGACACAAACCCATTATACTTTATACTGTGTTTGCAGAAACTGCACTGTATGCTTTAAGTCTTTAAATATTAGCAGATCATTGATTGTGTTGTTTAAATGTGGATGTAATGACTCTCGTTTTTCCCCAAAGACATGTTGCTTAGTTAAAATAGAGAGAGAGAGTGTGACAGAAATGCAAGCAGAAACTTGTCATTTTGGTGACAGAAAAACAAGCTGTGATAAATTTGCATGTGAACCTGTTTGGGTTTGATCCCACCCTGTATTTTTAAATAGTTTATATAGTCGAATCCGCAATTGTATTTTTAATCAACTTTATATATAAATGCTAGGATTGATACATGATTAAATACTGTCTAAAATTGTTTAGTTGTAAATTAAATGAGAAGTGGTGCAGTGAGCAGTGTGGGCTTGTTAGCTGGGAATGATTGAATGATTTGATGGTGTATTTCAGGCGCAGGGTGAAGGTGTTGTGCGTGTCTGTCTGAAGGAGCGAGGTCAAGATGTGCTGGTTCTCCAGAGGGTCCCATCAGACCCTGCATCTCCACAGACAGCAGGAGTCAAAGATGATGACAGCGATAAGAGGTGAGACCACGCCCCCTCACACAATAAACACTCCCCTTTAAGTACAAATCCTTACACAGTGCCTTCTTATCCCAATAAACCCCTCCCTCTTCATTTACATATCCATAAAAAGTGCCTCCTTACACACTAAACCCCTCCCCCTTGACTTACATATCAGTAAGCAGTGCCTCCTTTCACAGTAAACCCCTCCCCCTTTGTTTACATATAAGTAAATAGTGCCTCCTTTCACAATAAACCCCTCCCCATCATTTACATACACGTATACAGTGCCTCCTTTCACAGTAAACCCCTCCCTTTTCATTTACATAATCATAATCAGTGCCTTTGTACACAGTAAACCCCTCCCCCTTCATTTAAATATCTGTAAGCAGTGTTTCCTTACTTTTAAGCAGTGCCCCCTTACACAATTAACCCCTCCCTCTTCATTTACATATCCATAAGCAATGTCCCTCCTCCAGTCAGTGTCTCTCCCTCTCTCTCTTCATATTTCTGACACATTCCTCCCTTTATTTCCTCATTCTGCCGTCAGCAGTGCTTGAGGAGACACCACAGCATAAAACCTGCGTAAACATGCATGTCTTCTGAGAGTTTGTGTCAGTTAGTGCAGAACGTGTGAGTTTATCCAGCTCCAGCACACAGGGGGTGTCGGTCCTCCCTGCAGCCCAGGAACAGACCCCGGCGCTGGGCATGACGCCGCATGCATGTGCCTCCTGGAGGAGCGGCGATGGACGGCAAAACTTTATTAAAACTCAGACCCGTCACGCTGGTGCTGGCAGAAGAGGAAGACTATGATGATGAATACAGTAACAGTTTGGAAGATGAAGATGATGTGCCGACGTTTGATATTCCTCACTTTCGCTTCATTGATGATGATGAGGATGAGGAGGAGGAGGATGATTATGTTATGAACAGACACTGCTGGAGCAGCTCCCGCTCCACATGTTCCTCCTCTGAGGACGAGTATCCATCAGACTCTTCTTCTTCTGCTCTGTCCTGCAGGTATGTGGTGGTGTCTGGGACGCCACACAAGATCCTGGAGCACCTGCTGAGCGACCTGCGCCTGGACGAACACCAGGGGGCGACGGAGGGCAAAGAGGCTGGTGAGTGAACGCAGAAAAATCAGCACATGAGGTTATGATTTACATTTATAGGCAATATTTTAAATTTCTTTTAAAACAAAGCATTAATCTGAGATTTGTCAGACTAAGCCTACTAGCAGCCATAAAATGCAGAACTTTGAGATGGAAGGATAAGCCGTCTTCTACTTCCATGTGAACTTAAGAAGTGTCATCGTATATGCCTTTGGAAAAAAATGCGCTTCGTCTGAAAAAGCAGCATGATTTGATTGTCAAATACTGGGGCAGCTTCATTTCTTACTTGGGAATAAGTGGACAGAATGCTTCGAACCTGAATTTGTATGTTTTGTTCATGTTTTCATTTTATTTTATTCATGGTTTATTTGTGGCACTCCGGGTTGGAGGTTTGGGACACATAGAGGGCAGTATCTTTGGTGATGAAAGATCTATTGAGATTATTCTGTACTTCGTTGTACTTTGTGTTTAACTTGGAAAAATCCCAATAAACATAATGTTCAAAAATAATTTTAATATTATTTAAAAAAATGATATTTATGTATATTAATTCAGATGATTAATGGTCATCTGCATCTGGATTAATATATATATATATAAATTTTATTTTGGATGCGATTAGTCATGAGTCCTGATTATTTTGACAGCACTAAATAGAATAGAGTGAAATAGAGTAGAATAAAATAAAATACAGTCAAATAGAATAGAATAGAATAGAATAAAATAGAATAGAATAGAATAAAATAGAATAAAGTAGAATAAAATTGAATAGAGTAGAATAAAATAGAATAGAGTAGAATAAAATAGAATAGAGTAGAATAAAATAAAATACAGTCAAATAGAATAGAATAGAATAGAATAGAATAAAATAGAATAGAATAGAATAAAATAGAATAAAGTAGAATAAAATTGAATAGAGTAGAATAAAATAGAATAGAGTAGAATAAAATAGAATAGAGTAGAATAAAATAGAATAGAGTAAAATAGAGTAGAATAAAATAGATTAGAAAAAAATGCAACAGAATAGAAAAAAATAGAATAGAATAGAAAAGCATAAAGTAAAATAGAATAGAAAAAAATAGAGTAGAATAGAATGGAATAGAATATGTAGTTTTAACCTTATTCCATGAAAGCTTTATGATATGGCTACCATTATAATTCCCATTTACAGTACTTGCATAGTAGTGCATATTAAATGATACTACATAAGTTAGTTGTTAAAAAACTTTCATGGAAGTTGATTTTCTCAAAATTTTATTTTAAATGTAGAATTTCTGATAAAAAAATAAAATTGTAATAAGAAGCTTTAAAAAAATATTGTTACAAAAATGTTAATTTGATAAATTTACTTAATGTTTTTTTTTTCCATTTGCTATTTATAATTATACAACAGTTCTGTCTGGTTCTTAAATCTGATTGGCTGATAGCCATGCGATATTCTGCAATATCAGAACTCCTACAGCCTCTTTAACCTTTGTGCATTACTCCGCCCACAATCAGCCAGCAAAAAGCAGACACTACAGATGTAAAGTTTAAAATATGCACGCTAAGCTGTTTAACTGTCAGCTTATGATTTGAATCCGGAAGAAAGTAGTTCCTCATACAAAAGGGTTTTTGAGACTCTCCATGTTTGATTTTGTTTTTATATACACAAAAATGCTGTCAAACTGTTGTATAAATGCAATATCACACTCGTAGCAGTGCGATATGGCTGTATATCACAACGCACGCCTCCCACCAGTGCCGATATAAAGCCATATCGCACTGCTACTCGTGTGATATTGCTCATATATATAACAATGTCATTTACACAAATATACTGTAGTTTGTACACACACAGTATATGGCACAAATTAGCAGATTCTGTTTTTCTGCATTTATGATGTAATTAATTATTAATTTCTGTAAAATATACG